CCCTCCCCTTGCTGCCCCCTGGCCCCAGCGTGCTGTATGGCTGGGCTCCCGGGGCTTGCACCGCTCGCCTGCTGCCCACATCCCACTGATCCCCATTGTGGTGGAGCAGACGGTGAGTGCCCCTGGCTGGATCTCCCTCCAGCCTCCCCCAGGCACCCCTTACCTCCCCTTGCTCTTTCACCCCCACCTGGGACTCTCCATTGTCTAATTCCCCACCCCCCCACTCCCTGCCCAAAGGATGCAGCTGGGTTCTGGGCTGTTCCCTTGGCCCTTTGAGTGGGGGGACACCTGGCAGCCTGAGGCCTCCCCTCTGGCTCAGCTGAGGCTTCCCATATGCATTGCAGGGCCGTGGCGAAAGGGCCTATGACATCTACTCCCGGTTGCTGAGGGAGCGCATCGTGTGTGTCATGGGACCGGTGAGTTCACTCCCCGCCCCTCCAGCAGTCCTGGCCTGGAGGATGAGACCAGAACCCCTCTAGGCCTCCTGGTTCAGCCCAGAATCAGATCCGTGGGAGCTGTCCCCAAGCCTCTGGGGCACTGGATCAGCTTGGCAGGGGGCCCATGGGGCCTCAGTGTTCTCCTGAGCTGGCATGTCCCATCCCCTGTACAGGCTCCCAGATCCCCTGGTCTCTCCAGCCTGACATCAGAGGTAGGCACGGATGTAGCCAGGCCTGGGAGGGGGGGATCCAGGGTGGTTCCAGGGCAGGAGGGTAGCTGGTTGTGTACGTCACCCACCTGTTCCCCTCACTTGCAGATTGACGATGGGGTGGCCAGCCTGGTCATTGCCCAGCTGCTGTTTCTGCAGTCAGAGAGCAACAAGAAGCCCATCCACATGTACATCAACAGCCCCGGTGAGCAGGAGCTGCTCTTGCCCTTTCTTCCCTCTCTTGTCCTGATCTGAGAATCGAACCCAGGTATTCTGGATGGGAGATGCTTATTGCACCAACTTCTTGAGTGATTGAGAGAAGAGAAATGCGGATGCCCAGGTTCTCTCTCAGCTCTGGGAGGGCAGTGGGGGCTGGAGGTTACAGCAGGGCTGGGAGCCTGGATGCCTGGGTTCTCTCTCAGCTCTGGGAGGGCAGTGGGGGCTGAGGGGTTAGATCTGGGGGCCCCCTCCCCACTGCAAGCTGAAAAGTCAATAGATGTCCCCTGCCATGGTCCCAAGAGCACCCCTTGGTGGCCAAGGCAAGAGCTGGAATAGCTTGGAGCTGCCCCCTTGCCTCCTTCCCCTCCTCCCCCATTGCTTCTGCCCCAGTCCCCACAGTGCTTCCTGCTGGTAGAGGCTGAAGTAGCTAAGAGTCCTCCACCCCTCTCCTCC